CAGCTTTTACAAAGCAAATAATTCTTGTATGTCCTAACAGAGAGGGTGTATGCTACAATTTATTCGTGCAGCTTCCATGCACAAATCACTGTAGTCTAAGATGTATGCAGCGAGTCCTTGGTTAGCTATAAATGATGCTCTGTAGAGCAGGTGGAAGGAATAGTCAATGTGATAAGGTCTGCAGATTGTTCTCTGAATAACCTAACCAGAATTAGCACGTCAGGACTAACAGAAACACTGAGCAGATGGCTCCCACAGAATTTCAGCTAGGTAGAGCTGCAGATGATTGCCTTGTATCTACCCAGACGTTAAATGTTACTTCAGGTCTGTCTGATGGTTGATATTTCCAAAGGCACCCAAGAGTATTAACCATCTGAAATCTCACACAGCTTGAAAAAGTTAATCATCCAACTCACTTGTGCTTGCTTTCAAGATGAATTTTGGCTCAATACTATGTCAAAATACTCTGAAATGCTGCAAGCTCATTTTCCTATGCAAGCTAAATCCGCTGTGCTGTGCTAACTTGCTTCTTTCAATACCAAGGGGAACCATGTAAATGAAGAGACTGCATTTCTCAAACAGTAAGTTGCTCCTCAGTGCCCAAAGAAATGCAAAGTCCATTTTAGAGTTGACTTGCTGGATTTCTGATAATTTCACATAAAATAAAAAAGAACAGAAGGAACAGTATTAAAAAAAAAAAAATTAAATACAACAGGTGAATAAATTTCCTTTCCAAAACCAACTCTTCATAGTGAATGTAATACGTTAATATCTTTTCAGCAATAAAAATATTGCAAAAGCAATGTTATGTATAATACATTTTTAGTTTTATTAAAACCGAAAGAAAAACAACAAAACCAGAAAACATAATTGCTTTCACCTGAAACAGCAGCCACTTGGCCCAGGGTTAAATTTTTGGTATAAAGGCAAAATCTGCTTTTATTTACATCTCTGCACCTCCACAGAGGTTCACTGGGTCTGGAGATAAGAGTCAACTACAGAATACAGTCTGGAGGTTATGGGAAAGGGTCTGCACTCCTTTGCCATCAGTTTGGTTGTTTGGGTTTTTTTGAAACTCAATTACAGTCACACTTTCTCCTTCATTAACCTGACTTTGATATCCCCAAGATGCGAGACAGTGAGATGGATGAGAGCTGATCACAGGTTCCACTAAAGTTTCCAAATTGTAGAAGATGATACCTTGTAATGCCTCTTAAATGGTACCAAAGATCTTCCACTGTCCTTTAGGGAAGACTTGAATATTAGAGGTGCTCAGCCTCTGTCACTAATTTTTGTTATTTGAGTTTCAATGTTTTCATAAGATGTCAGCATTTTCTTATACCTATAGAGCTTACAGATATTTGCATGATCTGTATCTGAGTTAGGAAACAGAAGCAGTATTATATGTACAATCACTTCTGGTATGTATCCGTTAGGCATACAGATAGATGGTGTTGATGCAGAAACCAAAATGAGCACCTATCCCAAAACAAAGATATACTGTGTACATGAAACACCCCAGTGGATTGCTGTCTGAAGGGGGACCTTGTGACCTATTAAAATTAGAATCTCAGACTACAAAAGCAAAGATAAGAGAGGTGATCAAAATTCTCTAGTTGCTAGGCATTTTACGGAAAGAGGCCGCATTCATTCATCTTATTAAAATTCATGGAAACTGAAAATATCCAAAAGCCTGGGAGAGGTGGGGTCTGAAAATCTATTTCACAGAACTGGGAAGCTTACTCTATGTTCACCTTGAAAGCACTTTCCCCATCACAGACTTCCTGAGAGCCTTTTGATTTCTCTCCTACTTAGGAGGTAATTATAGAACTTCTTTTTCCTCCCTGACTAATGCATACAGAAAGGGGTCACTTCAGCATTTTATGCAGTTCATCATGGTTTATTCCTAACTAGATCTTTGTTGGAAATTACTTCTCCTTTGTGCTCTCTCTGTCTCATCTAGCAAGCTTTATTTTTATTTAGTTCTGTTTCCCATATCTCGTCCTCTGTCTGTATCATTTGATATCATAACTGCTCTAGTATTAAATACTGTTGAACTCTGCACTTCTGTTTTTCTCTTTTTCTTTACTTTCTCCTTTATTTTTAAATTCACTATTGTCAGTAAACAATGACAGTCAGGCACGGGGATGATTGAAGAGGCACACTAACCAAAAGCTACATAGCATATTTCTCTTGAGGATAAAGCTTCTAAAAGCTATGACTCCAAAGGAAAAGACTAAATACTTCCCAAAAGGTTTTCTAAGGGCACCAGAATCATGTGAGATACTTAAGATTATCACAGTTATTTCAGTCAAGAAGATTTTGACTTCATGACTTTAAATTGACAATGCTGGGTAGATACTTGGCTCACGTGGTCTGACCTGACCCTCGCAGCTTCTGCTGCTTTCAATATCTTGTACAAAGTGACCCTAAGAGGAAGATGTGAAGGGAAATTCTGCACCACCCCATGTCCTCATCAGGGAAGTCTGTCTCCTCGTAACACTACTACACATGCTCAGGTGCCTCCCCTGTCTTGGGAACTTACTAGGTTTAAGACTTATTAATAGCTAATAAGCACAATGTTTTCAAGATTAAACAAAGGCTGAGACATAGACTCACAGAATAAACGAGGTTGGAAAAGACCTTTAAGATCATCAAGTCTAAACATGACTCCGGGACTGCCAAGCCGACCACTAAATCAAACAACAGAAACAATGCTGGTTTAGGCAACTCAGGAGTCAAGCACCCTAGCCTCTTTTTTAGCTAGTAGCTCAACTGTATTCTTAAAAGCAAGCTGGAATAGGGTAGGTTTTTTAAATTGTTTTCCTAGTATGGATAAAAAATTTCAGGACATTAACAACAGCAGTACTTCAGCAACCAATTTGCTAAGTATACAAGAATACATCATTCCATATAGAAGCAGCAAACTTCTGTGTAACTCCTCACACGTTTTCTCCAAGTGGCATCTGTTGTCAACAACAGAGTAACATTTGACCCGAATTCACCAAACACATAACTGCTAATAAAAAAACCCACGAAATGTTCTTCCATGAAGAAGTTTTCAATATTTCTATATCAAGAGATGATAATGAAGATTTTCTACAAAGCCCTCAGATAGATGGGGCCGCTTTGAAAACAAACAGTCACTGATGTAACTTAACCAAATCCCACGTTCCCAAAAGATTTGCCCCTTCAAGGTATTAAGAACAGAGTTTTCCTCAGCCTAACTGTCCTGCTATTTTTCACCCAGCCAGCTCTCCCACTCCCCTGAGACAAAGTATTCATTATTTCAGTAATAGTTGTTGAGGCTTTTCTGCATCTAAGATAATTCAAGCACAAAGAATCCAAGTATCCTTATATACATAAGGTACCTTAAAAGATAATATTTATCAAGCTTAAGCATAGGCTTCCTCCCCCTCCCCAGTGAGCAACATTCATACGACCAAGTCCAAAGGAATCTAAAGCAGCACCAATGTTTTTGTCTTCACTCCTGTCTGTCCCCCTGGCATTGATTTCTCCCTCTTTCACAATCCTATTTGGCACATTGAGGAAGCTTTTTCAATAAATCAATACTGTAGTAAAAAATGACTGCCTCTATGTACTCCACATATTAAGCAAGTTTCTCTTGTACAGATAAAACCATTCACCTTATACTCTGTATTTGACATTCATTTTGAATAAGAGACCTTAATAAAAGAAGCAACTGGAAAAAATGTGAATCTAGAATAACTCAACGTTGTCTGTTTTGACAATATTGCTCCTGATGATGCTTAACTGCTAACCAATTTGATTTGGTTTCAGAAAGAATTGTAGCATTTTGCTGTTTTCAAAGTTTACTTTTGAAAAAAAATATCTAAAACAACTGCTATAAGGATAGGTATGTTATCTAATAATATCTATTTTTGTCAGCAAAATGGAAGGCTACTGTTTTCAGCAAGAATGAAATTATCAGCTTATCCATGAAAAAAATGTTACAAACCCCCTCAAATTAAGTTTAATGCTAAAATTATTATAGCATAAATATCCCTTGTCATGGCTTAACCCCAGCTGGAAGCTCAGCCCCACACAGCTGCTCACTCACTCCCGCCGTGGTGGGATTGGAGAATCAGAGTGAAAGTCATGGGTCAAGATAAAGACAGTTTAAAGGTAAATCAAAAGCTGCTCACACAAGCAAAGCAAACCAAGGAATTCATTCACCACTTCCAATGGTCAAGCAGGTGAGCAGGGCTCCATCACACATAATGGCTACTTGGGAAGCCAAACAACATTCCAGATGTTCCCCATCCCCAAATGTTCCTTTCCTCAGCCCTATACTAAGCATGACACCATACAGTGTTGGGGTCAGTTTTCCCAGCTGTGTCCCCCCCCAACTCTTTGTGCACCCCCCCCCCCCCCAGGTGGTGGGTTGGGGTGAGAAGCAGAAAAGGCCTTGACTCTCTAAGCACTGCTTAGCAATAACTGAAATCATCTCCATGTTATCAACACTGCTTTCAGCACAAATCCAAAACACAGCCCTAAACTAGCTACTGTGAAGAAAATCAACTCTACTCCAGCCAAAAAGAGCACATTCCTGTGGCACCTATATGGAAAGCAATATATACATGGTAAAACTGCTCCCTAGCACATGTACACACAAAGAACAAACTATCTTCCAAAATGTTGCGCCTAAGAGGACAATTTTCAGAACCACATCTCTGTCTCACATCTACTCTATTAAACTAATAGGACAAAAAGGCAGGGAAGGGAAAGCCATAAGACACTCACTGAGGAATACCACCAACAAAAAAGATATCTGCTTGTTCCAACAATTGCCATCAACACAAATGGGCTTTGCTAATCTGCGTTCAGGCCTCCTGAAAGCAGCTGCAACTTGAGTCACTGGTTTGAGCAAATCACTGTTCTGTCCTCACAAAAACAACACTGCAAATTTGTATGAGTGCAGAGCTCCTAAAACCACAGTCAATCAGCATCAAAACAACATAAGCTTCCATTTCACTTACCCAGATATTTCCATCTTGGTGGTATGGTTTCCAGTTTCTTCCTGTATCACTATAGAGCATCCGATATTGAGTGACCCAGTCAGAACTGCTGTACCTGCCTTGAGTTGCAACAGCACTGATCTGCTTCCTGCTCCCAAAATCCACCTGCAGCCATTGATAATGATCACTGTCTGATGGAGACCAACCTCCTGCACCTGTTGGGTTGAAACAGAGGAGAGATTTAGACCTCAAACACAGGCTTTGAAGTGAACACATTGTGAAGATGCTGATTGCTGGAAGGCAGCCCAGCTGAGAGCAGTATGACACCAAAGATACTTGAAACCATACAAGAGAAATATGAGTGCGTTATTTTTTTCTAAGGTGCATTTTCAGCACATGCTTCAAAGGCATTAACTCTGTTGCCTTTATCATTTCTCCACATAATTATAATGATTTAATGGGCTGCCTGCTAATGAATCAGTGCCTTTATAATGCCTTAACTACAGTGTACTAGTTTTTGCCAAGTTATAATTGTTCCAAGGGTTGACCCATTTGCTATGAAATCCTTCTTTAGAGCAAACTGGCACAGATCAATAACCTTCCTTGAACTTTGTATATCTTTTCAATAATATTTCCTGTTAAAGAGGTAATATAGATAAACCAGGAGGAAATAAGAACAAGTCCTATGCTTTCCTATGTTTCAGGATAGCGCACAAACAAAAAGATCTACCAGTAGAACTGAAAAAGGAGCAGGTAGCACACGGCTGGATCCAGCTTTGATCTGCTGGGTGTACAATCTGTCCCAGATTACATTGGCAGATGCCTCACAGAAGTGTTATTGCTCTTTACTGGTCTATAAATTAACTTGACAGTAACACTATTAACAATATTCTTCTCAGCCACAGACTACATAGAACTGTTCTAAATAAAGAAGGCCAGTGATGCATAGATAAAAGACATTCATGCAACTCCTTATGAAAAAAAAAGGGGGGGGGGGAACTGTTGCTGGATGCTGCAGACAGTAAGTATTGTAAGATAGATATTACAATTATATAGAATCATAGAATCAACTAGGCTGGAAAAGACCTCTAAGATCACTTATTCCAACCGTTACCCCAGGATTGCCAAGCCCACCATTAAACCATGTCACTAAGGGCAAAATGATCTCCTCTCCTTGCTGCCCCTCATGATCTCCAGTCAGTCATCACTCATCTCCCCTCATGACCATCCTTCATGGTCTCCACTCAAAGCCACCCCTCACATACCCTGCATAATGGCCTAGTCTGTATAGCTGCCATCCCTACCCCTCACAGCCACACCTCATTTCCCCTCTCAAGATCTCCCCTCATGGCCACTTGCCATAGCTCATGGCTGCCCCAGCTCTCCTCTCATGATCTCCCCTCACCCCTCATGGCCATCCGTCCTCTCCCCTCATGTCTACACCTCATAAACTCCACTCATGAACCCCCTTCACCCTCACCCCTCACAAGATCCCCTCACCCCTGCCCCTCACGCGCTTCCGTCACGAACTCCCCTCGTGAGCTCCCCTCACGAGCTCCCGCCATGCCTGCCCCTCACAAACTCCCCTCACAAGCTCCCGCCATGCCTGCCCCTCACAAACTCCCCTCATGAGCTCCCGCCACGCCTGCCCCTCACAAACTCCCCTCACAAGCTCCCCTCATGAACTCCCCCTCATGAATTCCCTTCATGAGCTCCCCTCACTTCTGCCCCTCATGATCTTGCCTTTGACTCACCAAGCTGTGTAACCTGGGGGAGCCAACTACCTTCTCCATTGTGTTTGTGATATGTGTAACCTCTATTGAGCCAAGGATTAATGAAGGTCCCCCTTTTCTCTAAGTTATGAAGAAGCTGGATTAGACAAAAGTTTCCCAGCTGTGAGATCCTTGCAATGGCCCTAAATTCATCACAGGAAATGAAGCACATTTGTGTCCTCATTCACTCTAAGCAGGTACAAACCCCTCGCATCTCAAGAAACGTGCACACACTCACAGCTCAGCATATCACTGAATATTTTGCTCAATAAAACCCAGCTTCTTCATTGGAATTAAGCAGTTGGTTTGATGTTGGACTGGGAACAGAGGAGTTACTCACAAAATAGTTGACACATTTTGCCCTTTTAAAGGAATAGCCAATTTGGAAACCAAACTTGATTTCCATAATATGGCATTATATTCGAAATACACTTACTTTTATGGCCAATATATGATGACAGAATAACGAAGTATCTTTCAGGAATGACCAAAATGAGTATTAGGAAATACATGAAACAAAGAAAAATACCTATCACTATACAGAAAACCTAGAGAATAATTCTCTTTATATTCATAGCAGGCATTACGGTGCAGAAAACAAACTTTGCAGACTTAATTACAGGGTTTCTTTTACGTTTAAGTTTGAACCATATAAATTTCCTGGCACATCACAACATCACACAGTCTAGTCTATGGGCCAATTTGCTTTTAATTTCGTTTATGGACTTCAGATGAAGTCACAAACGCAGGCTGCTTGCCAAGCAAGTCCTTGCTATACTGCAGTTTATATACTCCCATCATTAGGCGGCAGCATTGCCTCAGTCTTAGACAAGCCTACAGCTCATTCAGCTCCTACAGGTGTTAAAACATTTGCAGGTCGCAGGCCATTTTAATGCTCTGATATCAATGGGATCGTTGATGTCATAAGCGGTCACCTTTCATTGTAATAATTACTGTAACATTCTGCCAATGACATCTAATTCGTTTAAAATGTTAAATATTTACAATAGATGCTTTGTTCTTGCGCTACAGGTAAGACTACTCAGCGACAGAAAAAGATACTTCAGGGGTAGGGAACAGTTACATCCGATTAAAACAAAGCAAAACACCCTTACTAAAAATACTTGCAGCGAAAAGCATTCCCACACATTCCCGAAATCAATCTGGCCCAATTCATGAATAGAATGGTAACTGGCCATTTAAGAACAGAATTTTTTCATCGCTATTATGAAAGGAGACTGGAACAGTGAGCTCTACACACTTGTCACAATAGCAGACATGCTGCTTTCTCTTCCTGTCCTAGCACCCCTGTGCAATTGGCATATCTGAGACCGACTGCACACAAAGGATAAGAAGCTGTCCCTGTGCAGAAGCCAGCTTTGCAAAAGGACCCTTTGGTGGCTCCAGGAATAAGTAAGGTTCAAATGCGAGCATTCCAAAATGCAAGACAGAGTTGATAAATCCACCAGTAAAACACCCTTCAGCAATGCAACTGTTGACAAAAGATAATATACTATAGCGATAAGAAGGCTAAAAGAGACATTTTGAGGTTTACACTTTTTGCTTATGCAGAATTGCACTGAAAAAGATTTTTGTTACACGTAATTATAAGAAAATACTTGTAACATGATATACATTTATAATACTGAGATGAGATTTTGGCCTTCTTTGATAAACTCATTCATTCATTGTAAATTTTAAGGAGGTTTCGGAAAGTCTTCAAATACAAATCCATTAAAAAGTTTTGAAAAATTGTGTGCTAACATTAGCTTTCCTTTTTTATTATTTTTTTAAAATGTAAGAAGAGGCAAAAAACATTGTTCACATCATGCCTGCAAACAGTTAGACCACAGAACTAGGCCATGAGATGGAAGCACAAGTACTGTACAATGGCCTGCCATATAACCATTGACAACGAGCAAGAGACAAGACTTTCAGTCAATACTGAAGACAGCAGCAAACAATATTACCCCATTGGTTTCTTGACTTAATTCTCTTAGTTTCACATTTGTGTTCCAACTTTTCCAAGCAAGTAAATGAATAAATAGTCCAAAGGAGGAAGGGGAAACATCTGGACTGTAGCTAAATGTGGTGCTATGCAGACCAGCATGGGAAAGGAATGGTGAGCAGTCTGTGGCTGGGGAGGCATCAGCCATTCATCAAAAGCAGCCTGTGGAGATCAGCTGAAAGTTTCCTCTTCCCCTTTGACTCACCAAGCTGTGTAACCTGGGGGAGCCGACTACTTTCTCCATTGTGTTTGTGATATGTGTAACCTCTATTGAGACAAGGATTAATGAAGGTCCCTCTTTTCTCAGGTGCATGATCTAAGTTATGAAGAAGTTGGATTAGACAAAAGTTTCCCAGCTGTGAGATCCTTGTAATGGCCCTAAATTCATCACAGGAAATGAAGCACATTTGTGTCTTCATTCACTCTAAGCAGGTACAAACCTCTCACATCTCAAGAAATGTGCACACACTCACAGCTCAGCATATCACTGAATATTTTGCTCAATAAAACCCAGCTTCTTCATTGGAATTAAGCAGTTGGTTTGACGTTGGACTGGGAACAGAGGAGTTACTCACAGAATAGTTGACACATTTTGCCTTTTTAAAGGAATAGCCAATTTGGAAACCAAACCTGATTTCCATAAGATGGCATTATATTTGAAATACACTTACTTTTTATGGCCAATATATGATGACAGAATAACGAAGTATCTTTCAGGAATCAGCAAAATGACAGCACGTTAGTAATTTTCAGTGAGCATTACTTCGTACTGAAATTGCAATGTATATTATAATTGTTGAATAAATGCTATTCACAGTATTATTCCTCACACCTTCGTAGAAACTGTTTATTTTTAATAGTTACAAGCTATATTCTGAATTTTATTACATACATTATTTGCACTTTCTATTATGGCAGAATAAAGGCATTGGATGCTTGCTTTTTTATATCACACTGTTTCACTTCATACACTGCCTTTTAATGCCAAATGCCATAACATACTATGGTATCACAGAATCATACAGTGGTTTCAGGGTGGAAAGGAACTTTTAAGCTCTTCCAGTCCTAACTCCCTGACATGGACAGGGACACCTTCCACTAGACTGGGTTGCTCCAAGCCCTCTCCAATGTGGCCTTGAACACTGCCAGCGATGGGGCAGCCACAGCTCCTCTGGGCACTCTGTGCCAGGGCCTCACCATCCTCACAGGGAAGAACTTCTTCCTAATGCCTCACCTCAATCTCCCCTCTGTCAGGTTAAAGCCATTCCCCCTTGTCCTGTCCCTGCAGGCCCTTGTAATAAGTCCCTCTCCAGATTTCCTCTAGGTACGATATATTTAAAAGATATTAAACATATGCAAATAATAAAGTTTGCTTTCATTGAAGAGGCAAGGCGCATTTATGCAGTTCTTTGCCAGTTAGGGTACAATAAATAAA